GTAAGGAGGCAGGGATAAAGAGGCTACATTGTGAGACAGGTAGCGAGGCTGAAAATAGGAAAGACAGTGCCTGGAAGGAATGGAAGTGAGAGCCAACTTGAGTTTTACCTAAAGAAGCTTAAGCTCTGAATAAAAACTGTATTATTCTCTGCTGCTGGTTATAATAAGATTTTCCAGCAGAGGGCAGACTTTACGTTCAAATAGATGTAAAAGCACTTCAAAGATGCTTTTCCAAAATCCTTTGAATTTTCTTAACTTCAATATTTTTCATTTCTAAGTGATTTTGAATATATATTTTAAAGTATTTAAGGCCTGTGATAGTGAAATATGAAATTTCTTAGATTCCAATTAGTATTTCTTCCCTGTTAGCCAAATAGTCAAGATGTCTTTCCAAAATGAGGCAGTTCCTCCATGACTTTGGCTGACCTCAGATATCTAACCAAAGCTGTTCTTTTTCTCTATTACAGAAAATCCTGTCTTTGAACACAAGCATAATTTTCTTTCTTACAAGAGAAATTGATATGAATGACTACTTTTACAGAAATTACTGTCGTTTTGCACTTTCTCTCATAGTTTTGATAATTTCCCTAGAGAAAATGCCGTGTGTGTAAAAGTCAATTAACCTTAGTAGGCAATATTCAATACACCTTTAACCAGCAGTTTCTCAAGATTCTCCTCCTTGATTTAACAAAGTCATTCTTAAAATAATAAATAAGGAAGTACTAATTGCTTGCTGATTTCAGATCTGGAGACCTAAGTTGCTGTTTTCTAAATACATGTTCTTATGGAAAAAGCTTATCACCAATTGACTTTATATATGTTTTACCTTAAAATCAGATATGTCACATGGGTTTATTTATTAGAACCAATGTCAGACTTCATTTTGATAAGCACAAATTAAAAAAAGAAAGTAATATTAAAAAATAGCAAGTATGAGAATTTTGTATTGTGGTGTTTGTGCTGCTCCTGGGGCTTGAATTCCAGGTCTGGCCACTGTTCCTGCTTTTTAGTTCAAAGCTAGTGTTCTACCACTTGAAGCCCACTTCTACTTCCATTTTTTGGTACTTAATTGGAGATAAGAGTCTCACAGACTTTTCTTCCTCAGGCTGGCTTTGAACCGTGATCCTCAGGTCTCAGCTTGACTAGCTAGGATTATGGGCATATACCACTAGCACCCAGCAATAGAGGAATTTTTGGTACATACTCAATAGGTTGGTTGGTTCATCTTTGGTAACGTGAGTTCAGTTTATAGATCTTGGTGTCATTTTTTTTTTGGAGAGATGTATACATGTGTGTGTGAGAGATAATTTTTTTTTTTTTTTGTCGGTCGTGGGGCTTGAACTCTGGGCCTGGGCGCTGTCCCTCAGCTCTTCAGCTCAAGGCGAGCACGCTACCACTTGAGCTACAGCGCCACTTCTAGTTTTTCTGGTGGTTTATTGGAGATAGGAGTCTCACGGTCTCTCCTGCCCAGGCTGGCTTTAAACCACGATCCTCAGATCTCAGCCTCCTGAGTATCTAGGATTACAGGCGTGAGCCACCAGCGCCCAGCTGAGATAATTTTTTTTAAGTAAACGCAGCAGGAAAACTTCTAGGGATGGCATTTTCAATGGGATATACAGTATATTTTATTTTATTACTAAAGTTATTTCCTTTTGTACTTTCTAAGAAAGAAAAGAACAATAAAAATGCAGAACAATTTGCTGCCTAGGAAACTAGATTATTTTAGGGTAGAGAAGCTACAGATTTATGTACTCTTAAAATGACAAAGAAATGGGCCTCTGTCTACTCGCTTTGATTTTTTTAATAATAGGATCAGCAGAATTATTGCCATTAGTTTTCTTCCATGATGACAATAGCATTCCTTTCTAATTTTCGTGCAAAACTGAGTATGGACTCTTGAATGGAAAGTTACTGGGCTTCTATAAGGGAATAAGAAAATGTTAGCAAACTACAATCACCTCTTAAACTTTTCTTCCCCCACTCCACCCCCTTGGAAAGATAAGCTCTGTTTTAATTTTAGAGGAGAACTTGACATGACTATGAAATGTCTGTTGCTGCTTTTTTTTTAAAGCAATTTTTATTTCACTGAACACGATGGATACAGGATGCTTTGCTTGTTTACAAAGCTTCCCACAGATCAGCAGCCAAGTTGATGTTGTAGCAAAAGTACTAACTTTCTGGACTTTTACAAAGGTAGGGCTGTCCCCCCAGAGAGGTGTGGTATAGATACACTGCAGGATCTCTGTGAGTCTTGGATTCTCACCTACAAAATTAAGCTGACAATGCATATCTTTCATGTGTTGAGAGCTGGAGACCTAATTTTCATGACAGTTTTCATGCAAGCTCTGAACTCGGTGTCCTCCAGATAAATTGCAGATTTGATTGTGAGATTAAAATAAATGATCTAGACAATGAACTTAATCGGTAATACTCACCTACTAGTAGCAACACTATATCAATATTTCTTTTACATATTGTATAAGTAACTCCCACAAAATGTATTCCCTCTAGAATAAAGCTTAAGGAAAGCCTGGCTTCACATACACAACAAATAGATGGAAATTATGGGAATTGACCATCATCACAAGTGATCATTTCTATTTCATTTACTGAGAGTAATTTTATATTTTCTACATTATATTTTTATGTATGTTTCAGTGATTTTGTTATTCTCTTCAGTTCTTCATTCTACTTGTAAAAGAACAAATCAACTTACGTTTTTTTTTTTTTTTTGGCTTCACAATTCTCAGCCTGTATTTCTAGAACCAGAATTATCCCTGAAATGACATTTTTCCCATCTCATTTTACACCTTGCCTTTTCCTTACAAATCATATTCTCTTTTCATCAGTACATCTGCCCAAAATGCTCTTCGGCTTGACAGCTCGATCCAACACTCGCCTCTGAGTTTCTAACAAGACATACCTTTGGGAATTGCAAAGTGCTATGTTTAAAATCTCTCAGTGAGATGCGCAGGTTTCCCTGTGTGATCATAAGGGATTCCTCAAATCGAGTTTCAGAGCTAATCTACGACAACTGATAAGCACAGTATTTCACATTAGTTTATTTATGTTGTGCTAATATACTTAAACAGTATGTGCGTCCATTGAGAATTTTTCTACAACTTTCTTACCAGCTAACTTCCAACTTTCAAGAAATTCCCCTATCTCTCTCAAGCTACATGGACTTATTCAAATTGGAGGGGAAATGTCTAAGATGTCACAGGATACTCAATAGAATACTAGGCTGCAATAAAAAGGAAGACATTATTGATAGCAATAACACTGGATGAATCTCAAATACTTTGTGCTAAGTTAAAGTGGACAGACATGAAGATTGCATGTCACACGGAACCATTTTTATGACACCCTGGGGAGAATAACATTACAGGATCAGGAACCACATCTGTGGTTGCTGCAGGATACTAGGGGAGCATTGTCCACAAGGGGGCTTGAGAGGACTTTGGGTTGTGATGGAATCATCTTCATTGTAACAGCACCACAGAACAGTATACAAGGATTAATCTCATTAAAACACACTTGAAAGGAATGATTTTTTTTTTGCAATATAAAGCTACTTACTTCCTATGACTTGAAAAACAATTAACTGGTTATAAGTACCTATAATTTGTATCTCTTTCTCCAGAAGTTTTGTTGGTATCATCTTATGCATCTGCTTTCTATTTCTATTTCCAGCCCTGAATACACACATGGCACTCAAGAGTATTTTGAAGTAAAACAAAAGGAGCTACCTGAGTAGAATTGATTATTGCATTGAAAAGCTTTAGGAAATAATGTTAATATCTCCCAAATACAAAGATTATGAAATATGGTTTATTCTAAGAATATTAGCAACTGGTTTGGATGCACTAGTAACATACCAACTACATAATGTACATTCATTTTTAATTATGTTTTTGTTATCTTTAAGTAGGTATACAAGGGAGTTACCATGTACAAAGGGGTTACCATGCAGCAAATCAGTTTATGAATACAATGGATCTTGATCAGTGTCACCCCTTTCATCATTCTCCCCAATTTATTTTTCTAGTCACTTGCAATTGAGCTACTGTGCCAAGAGCTTACTGTACCTAATATCAGTTAATAGCCTGTGAAATAAGTGATGTCAGACGCACTTTAAATAAGAGCAATCTAAAACAGAGCAATGTCAATTGCGAATTTCACAAGTCTGATTCCAGAGCCAACCTGAAGAATCACAGTGCTCTGACTTTTAATGGGGTAACCCTATTGCTGCTCCTTAAAGCTGAGACTGAATACATCCGCAGAAACAAACATTGTGGGAAAAAATCCCTTCCTTGAAAGAAAGGTATACAGAAAGCTTTGTTGCTGATGACAGAAAAACAGAAAATCAGGATTAAGCAAAAATATATGCAATTTCCATTCATACTAACTATTGGAAGCTTAGAAAAGAAAAACAGTATTTCCTACTCCCATACGCTTCTAGTAAGGCGTAATGCTAGGCTTCAGTGATATTCTTCTTGAGAAAATTCAGTTTGAAGTTTTAAATATATACTTATCACTGAAATATCATTTTCATAACTACCCAGTGGGTTCAGGTACTTTTTTAATAATTTTCATACTTCATTAGTTCTCTATCATTTTACATGAAAATAGCTCGATGATTTCTGCTTAAAAACCATTTTCAACCTTCAGTAGTCTTTGTCGGGGCCATTATCTTCATGAAGAATACTGATTAGAATCACACATGCTTGAGATGGTGCATTTGTTCTCATGTTGCATGTACAGTATGTGAAATAGGTAATACATATTTGAATCACTACCCAGTAGCTATCTATCCTTAGAGGAGTTTTTGTTTTTAGTGTAGCCTGCCAGAAACTCTTACCTTTTATTCATAATTGTCTGGGTGTACCTTCCTCACTTTGCATTGAACTGTATGTTCTGTGTGCTGTAGAGGTGTGCAGTTAAAATACGTTTATACTCGGAAATATTTTAAAAATATTTTAAAATGTTTTCCTTTGCAGAATCAGACACAAGTTTGGCAGAAGGAAGTGTCAGCTGCTTAGATGAAAGTCTTGGACATAACAGCAACATGGGCAGTGATTCAGGCACCATGGGAAGTGATTCAGGTACTGCCTAACTGTTGTGTAAACCTTAAAAAGTGTGAAATAAGACGCCATATAGTGGAATGCATGGGGGCTGCTCACACACTCCCTAATGTACTACTTATGTAATTAAGGCAATTCTTTTCTGCAGGAGTCATCCTGGAACCGTGCCATTTACTTCCTCTAAAAGTACAACTTACAAAAGCCTGAAAACCAAATCCTAATTTTCACTCAGGCTCTGTCTTTTTGATCTGTATATGCCACATTTCACAGAGTCACATCATCTATTTTATTATGAGGTCTGTTCTCATTCATTGGGACTGCGCTTCAGTTCTCCATGCAGCTTGGTACAATTATCTTCCTCCAGGTGCAACTTTTTATTAAATTATATTTAAGTGAAAATATAACACTCTCATTAAGAGGAAGGTGATTAGATAATTACAGATAACCAACAACACCCAGGAAACAGAAAGGTTAGAAATTACACATACAGTTAAAAGAGTCTCATTTTGTATACACAGCTCTTCAATAGGAGTATAAGATGAGATACTTTGGTCAAGAGTTGAAGACTTGACTAGCTATTTCCCATAGTGTTCTTCATATTGGATGTAAATCACAGTAGCAGTAGAAGGCTGTGCTAGTTCCCACCCCCTATTCCTTCATCAGTTAAATATGTTTTCCTATTAGATTTCCTAATCTGTCATTTCAGTGGACTCAAACTATTCTTTTATATTCTTTGATAGTATATTCTGTGATTACTACTACTGAGTTAGGAGGTTAACATCTTTTGGCTATGGGCCATAAGTTATTAGATATCTATTACATAATTTTATCTATATATTTGAAATAGTTCATAAGTAAAAGTAACAAATGACCAAAATATTCTTTGCAATGTGAACAGCTAAGAAACAATAGAAAACCGACACGTTCCAAAACATTATTTTATTCTTTATTTATAGTTGAGTTGTTTCCACTTACAAAGTATTGTATAATTTAGATTATCTTCCTGCCTTGTCAGAATTATAGAAATATAGATTTCAGTAAGTCTTACAGGAAAGACAGTTTGTATCAAGGCTGTCATTTCCCTAAGAGCTTCCTATATTGTACCTCTGCTTCTACTTATGTATTCTTAAGAACAAGTTCATTTGGAGAAAATAAAGTAACCAGGAGTCAGTCATAACTTTAATTGTAATTTAAAAGAGTTAATTCATTTTCTGTTCAGTTCAGCTAGAGCTTATTAAGTTCTTGATGTAAGCTTATTTCTGTAGATTGTATTTGTTTTTCTGTCCTTGTCATAACACTGTTAAAATTTAATAATTAACATTTCTATTGCAAGTTATTGATGGTACAACTAAAAATATACCCCAGCCAATAGTTAACATCTATATGGCTGATTTTAAGCTTCTGGATGTGGTCTTCATTCTTATTTGTCTAAGTAAGGGCTTTTTAACAATATTCATTCATTTGATAAATTATCTAAAACGTATCCTTTATTTGCGGGGCATTTTGCCTATTGAGAGCTGTTAGCAAATGTATTTGCTGATTTTTTAGTCTTCAATGTGGCGTGAAAGACGTGATAAAACTGAGTGCAATCTACTCTGAAAAAGCAAATACATTTACAAAGGCAAATACATATTTTAGAGCACATTTTCAAAGGACACACTTGAAATCCTAGATAGATCAGTGTTTAGGGACAAAGAATTACTTTGCAGAGTATGCAGTAAAATTTTGAGCTGGTGGAAATTATGACATTTCTCACCCCCAGGTTAAGCTCAAGCCATAATCTTCAATCAGAAATTTTGGTAAATTGGTGACGATATATTGAGTAACTGGAAAGTATTACGGGGTTTGCAATTGTATTTTAACCTTTGCCATTGACATTGAAAAAGACGTTATCCTCCATGTGTGTAATCCTCCTTAAGAGGCAAACTTGCAGACATGGTACGCTGAATGTGAGCTTACACAGGTCATGTTCTCTGTGCAAATATTAGACCACAGCAAAATCTGATCATTGGTCCTTTTAAAGTTTAAGTATTCTAATTACATTGTAAAAAAATTTCATTTCCCATTTTTAGAGATATATACTCCCTTCTTAAAAATGTGGTAATGTACATTGGCTTGGTGTGTACTCTATTTTGAGGTAATATCTATTAATATTTGTCCAACTGAAATCATGTATTTTTCCATAGTTGCACACTATAGGTAAAAGAATACTTTGTCGATTTCAAACACATGCAGTGACAGACCTTTTCTCTCTAAGAATAGCTCAGCTGTCAAAATCAATGTGAGAATGAAATTTGCCACATGGTGTAGTTCCAATAGAATATTATTATTTAAACCCTATTTGATTTCTTTTTTGACCATTTGTATGATATAATTTTGAGGTCTGCAACAGTTTTTTGTGTTTTGTTTTGAATTGCACAATGTAATTCAAAGCCGGTGCATCCTGAAATACTATTTTCTTTATTGTATGCAATTGATTATGCTTTTCAGAGAAAGCCAAAAATAAACAAACAAATAAGAACCCAAACATATCTTTTATAAGGGGAATTGGCTCCAGACTCAGCGATTCCAGCCCAGTTTCTCCTTCTGGTGACAGAGAAGAGAAAATTCTTTTTTTATGTTTATAGGAATAATTTCTTCATCCCTGTGTCAGAGGATGTGATAAGACAAGAATCAAGCGGCATATTTAGCACTCACCCAGCTCTTTTACTTTGGATGCTATTCTCACATTGAATCCAACTCTAACTTCTACCATATCTGCTCTGTTTTTATGCATTTTAAACGTGAGGCTGCCCATCCAATCTCCTAGTCTTAACTCAAAACTAAAGACTATTATCGAACTAATAATTTATCAAGCAACTAATTTATCTAGGCATATATATGTATATACACATATAGGCTTATATGTATATATAATTTTATGGAGGTGAAATATTAGGATATTAGGATTTTGAGTACCTATAAAAGCCACACAGTACAGAAGTAGGCATTTGTTACTAAATCTGAACTTTAATTAGATGAATTATTACATCTATTATTTTATTTTGGCAATGCTAAGGTTTAAAGTTAGGGCCTCACATTTGGGAGAAAGGAGCTCTGCCAACTTATCCATGCCCAAGCCCTTTTTCCCCTTACTTTTCTATTTCCAGGGCAGGCTCAGATTTTGATCTTCCTACTTATGCCTCCCACCTAGCCCCATATTCAAGTGTGAGTCACTATTACCTTGAGATGGGGTGTTCACTAGCATTTTGACTGGCCTGGCCTTGAACTGTGATCCTTTCACCTCTGTCTTCTGAGTAGCTAGTATGACCCTTATGCCAAACCTACCCAGATATCGTAAACAGTAGCACTAGTGTTCCATATACTGAGTTCTTTGTGGGAGGAAAAAAAAAAATATATATATATATATAGGCAGTACATGACAAGTAATAGTCACACAGTCAGTATTTACTACAGAATGAATTAGTGGTAGGTGACCAGTTAAGTAGCATTAAGTCTTTTGACTTAAGTTCTAGAGTTAAATTTTTAAAATGATGGCTGTTTACCATTCTAACCCTTTTAAAACTAATTAGTACTTTAAATATCTTACACGTGTAGTGTAGTCAGGCTGACATTTTACTCACTTAACCTGGTTTTAAATTCCTTGGAAAGATAAATAAAAAGGTGGTAATATTTTCTCCTTTCAAGTTCTGTTGTAGTAAATATAAGAGAAGGAAATTATTCTTCAAACATAAACATGTGTGAGAAAGGAAACACCTTATTATTCTTAAAAATCTATGTTAAAATTTACCTAGAGTGAAATTCAAGGAAGAAAAGATATTGCTATCTTTTAACAAACTTTCTCCATTAATTAACAACTTATTATTCTTAAAAATCTATGTTAAAATTTACCTAGAGTGAAATTCAAGGAAGAAAAGATATTGCTATCCTTTAACAAACTTTCTCCATTAATTAACAACTTTATAAATATTTTGGCTCTTTTGGGAAGAGTTATTTAATAAATTCTTCTAATGAAGATAAAATATTAGGATTCTATAAGCTCCCTAAAGTAAAAAATAGTGTTATTCTTGAATAATTTTGAACCTTACATGAATGTAAGGTGATCAATACAATATAGCTCAAAACCAACATTGAAAGAAATCTCATACATGCGTATTTTAACTGCTGTTGGCCTTGTGAGTTTTAAATGAAGATCAAATGAAGTGAATCAGCAATAATAGCTTAATAGTATATAGCTCATCTGTCTTTACTCATCCATACAGATAGCAAATTTCCTGCTGGGTCAGTAGATGAGCTTTACTAAGTGATGTTTGGTGTGAATTTTCCTACCTGTTCAGATAGCACTATCACAACAAACTAAAACCTATTTAAATAGAATCAGCCAGTGATTAAAATGGACTCATCAGCAAGTTCTTAGGAGTTAATGGGATTATGTTAGCTTAGTTTTATTTGGATTTGGTAAGAAGAAAACTTATTTCATGTGGGATGAAATTCTGGTTGGTGCTGTCATTTTATTTTTTCTCATGATAATGTAAATTTTAAACCTGGACGTAGAAACTGACATAATGTTTGTTTGACTAAATTCCACATTGTAATCTTATACATTTTTTACATCTTTTCCTCTTGGCTAATCTAGATTAAAAAATAAAATATATCTAAACAAAGATATGTTGTTATATTTTTTAACCTCCATCACATTAAATTATGTTTTCAATTCTTAAAAATATTTGTTAACTTGGAAATGATTGTTTTATATTGTCCTATACAGTTTCTGGAAACAGTATGAAAACATGGAGATAGACATATCAGGAAGTAATAAGGTTACAATTCAAACCTAAATGGGAAATTTAGTCACAATGTAGCTTGATGTTACAAAATGGTTTCACCTTTCAAAGAAAGCCTACCAAATTAAAGGCTAGGAGGGAAATGCTGCTTCTCAGTTTAACTGAGGAAGGAAGGAAGACTTTACATATGCATACACAAGTATGTACCTGGGTGAACAGTCAACTCTCCATATCAATTGGTTTCACATGTGCAGATTTAAACAAAAAAGATCAAAATTATTTTGAAAACTTAATACTCTTGTCTCTATTTCCTAAACAATACAATATCACAACTATTTACACAAATCTACATTGCAACAGGAATTTTAAGTAGTCTAAAGATGATTTATAGTAGAAGGGGTATTATAAATTCATATGCAAATATATATATTTTATATGAGATGTGAGAACATGTGGACTTAGGTATTTGAGGGAGCTATTTGAACTCAAAGACCCAAAGATCAAGTGATGAAAAAGTGAAGTATAATAATTTCAGCTTTTATCTAAAGCTAAGGAGGATGCTGCAAAAACTAATTAGGATACTTGTAATCCTAGGTACTTAGAAGGCTGAAATTAGGAGGATTATAGTTTGATGAAAACCCAGACAGAAAAGTTCACAAGATCCCTTCTCAACTGAGGGTTAGGAGATCTGGCACCTACATGATCTAGTCAAAATGAGAAATCTGAAACAGGTGGATTGAAGTACATGAGTGTACCTTCGGAAGGAAATGAAACCCTATCTAAAAACCAGACAGTATAAATAAAGCTGGGTGCTAGTGGCTCATGGTTGCTGTATTAGCTACTCAGGAGGTTACTATTTGAGGAATGCAGTTCAAAGGCAGCATGGCCAGGAAAATCTGTGAGACTTACCTCCAATAAACTACCAAAAAGCCGGAAGTAGAGCTGTGGTTCAAGTGGTGTTAACCTTAAGCAAGAAAAAGCTCGGGGACTGTGCACAGGCCCTGACTTCATGCCCCAAACTTGCACACACATTTTTTTTTTAATTAAAGAGACAGTATAAAAGTCTGATGGTATGAGTCAGTGGTGGAGTGCCTGGCTAGTAAGCAGAAGATCATGAGTTCAAACCCTTGTGCCATCAAAAAGTTGAAACCAAAATAAAACTATGCTTATTGTAGCATTATTTACCATAGCTAAGATATGGAACCAGCCCAGATGCCCCTTAATAGATGAATGGATCAAGAAAATGTGGAATGGAATTCTATGCCTCCATCAGAAAGAATGACATTGCCACATTTGTTAGGAAATGGAAAGACTAGAGTTGGAAAAAATTATATTAAGTGAAGTAAGCCAGGCCCAAAGAAACATAGGTCCCATGGTTTCCCTTATTTGCAATAACAAGTATATGTCTGGGACAAATAGAAAAGGTCAAAAGCTATGTACATATGACCAGATAAGATTAAGTTAAGGGAAATGAACCCCAAAATAGGGACACAAGTGTTTTTTTTCTTTCTTGCTAACATTTCTAACATATTTATAAGGTACCATGTGATGTTTTTTGTTATTGTTGTTGCTTTGTATGTTCCTCACCCACACTATAACCCCTGTTTTCACTGTATTTGATGTGGGTATAATTTGGGGAGGGGAAGGGAAAAAACAAAATGTTTAAATAGAGATATAGGTGGACCCATTGTAACAATGATATGTACAAGACACTATGTTGAAAAATGAACTTTACAGTTTAGACTGGGGTGAGTGTAGTTGTGGAGGTGGGAGGGAAGGGATGGTAGTGGAAAAACAAAGGAGGAGGCAACAATGCTTGATAAGAAATGTACTCATTACCTTGCTCATGTAACTGTAAGCCCTCTGTACAGTATTTTCACAGTAAAAACCTATTAAAAAAAAGAATCCAGAACAAAGATAAATAACAAGTCCTATTTCACTAGTTATTGTTGCTATATGGGTGGAAGGGTTAAAAGAAATGAGCAGAGCATACTGGTAAAACAGGAAATATAATACATTAGCAACATGAACTGCCAAGTCTACACTTCTGCCTGCCCTTTATAACAATTCTCTTGGCCTTGCCCACTCTGAAACACATCTTGCCCCCTACTGAAGTCTGTGTGCTTTTAATTCACTCCATCTTCACCCTCACCCTAGACCGCTTCCATATGATAGACCGCGTGGATCATATCCTACAAGTATGGACAGGGGGCTAACCCTCTGTGGTATAGCAAATAGGAAATAGAGCAGTTTGAAGCACAGAGGAAAAGGACTCTGCAAACCAAGGGGCTTACATATTCTGTTTCAGCCTTCTTGGCCTTACTTGTTTTATTGTCTATTCTCTTTGTTTCTTGACTTAACTCCCTCCAGATGAAGAGAAGGTGGCAGAAAGAGCCTCCCCTGAGCCAGAACTACAGCTTAGGCCTTACCAAATGGAAGTTGCCAAACCAGCCTTGGAAGGAAAGAATATAATTATCTGCCTGCCTACAGGAAGTGGGAAAACTAGAGTGGCTGTTTACATTGCCAAGGACCACTTGGACAAAAAGAAGCAAGCATCGGAACTTGGGAAAGTTATAGTACTGGTCAATAAGGTATTCAAAGGAAACAAGTGAAACATCATTAGCTCCTTTTCATGTTAATATTCTGAACCTTTAAAGAAAAATATGTGTAGCAATGAATCACAAATTTAGTTTGAGTATAATTTATTTTATGTTTGCTATTTGTTTCTATTTTCTATCTAAATTTTTAACCTTACAGTTAAATTTTCTGTAAAATTAGAATATTAAATCAAATATCTGTAACTTATATACAAAGATTGCATCTACTCAGCTATAGTAAAGGTTAACTACTCCTGATTTAAGTTATCATTTTATATATATATATGTATATGTATGTATGAATGAACACAACATATCTTGAGAATCTCAGCTCACAATATTTTTTAGAGTTTCTTTAATCATAGATACTTCATTGAAGATGTCATCCATGGTATATTATAATACATTTGCTATACATGTAATAAACTGAATATAAATTCTGCCTTGCAACAGCAAGGCAGACAGGGAGACAGCATCCTGAGTCTTATGGTAATTTCTTTTATCCCATGGAATAAATAACAATAGTTCCTTTAATATGGTTTCTAGACCCTGCATTATTCCATGGTATCTTAGTTTTCCAAGTATTTATCCAAGACTGCAGTATTCAGAGCTAGAGATCCAATTCCACAGAAGCAGAGTACAGGAGAGATAAGGTGTGACACTCAGACTAGACTATGTTTACTTTGACATCACAGACTTATCCTCATTTGAAAATCTGTTAAGATAGAGCTCTCTAAACTTATTTTCATGAAGTTAACGTTTGAACTTAAATTCAGATACTTATGTTTGTCTCTTCATATCATTCTTCTTATATAATCATTTATATCCCTTTTAATGTATTGAATATACCTTCTATAAGATTTCTTTCTCTTAATGCTTTATTCTAGTCAGAAATCTTTGATCCTATCAAATCTACATGATTCTTACACAAGAACATTTACACATACTAAGTGTTAATCTATCCTCATCATTTATAGTCACTGCATTGTTATGGGAATATTGAAGAACATAGCTACTCCTTTATCTGCTTCTTTACTGTTTTGTTCTAAGAATTACTAGAAATCTTTCTACTAGTTCTCTTGGCTATATTGTAATTGTTTGCCATCTATCTTATTTCTCTAAATTTTAAAGTAACTTCAGCTTTAATGATGTCTGAATCAGGAAATATCCATCCTAATAAGTCAATGTAATATGCCTTCTGTGTTTCATCCTAAAACATGGTATTATAACCCTTGCTCAACAAAAAAGAAATCTTGCTCCCAAGCACTATTCATTCTCATCTCCCTTCCTCCATTCTTTCTAAAGTTATAGCCTTCAAATGCAGGGAGAAATGAAAACACCACCTGCCCACCCAGACTTTCCATTTCCTATCTAGGACTTCCACATCATGAGAGATAAATCCCAGGTTCCTTCAGATGCTACAAAGCAGTCCCATATGATTCAGCAGGAGTAGCTAGCAGTTGGGTTTGATTAGTCTTGGCAGACACTCTGTCACATCTCAGGAAAAGACTCCAAGAAGACCACAAACCTTCCAATTAGCCATGTCAGACTTGCATCTGGCTTTCTCTGTGGCCTTCAGTAGGAAGTCAAAGCCACCTAGAGTGATGATGAGGATTATCCAGCTCCTGTTATTTCCTGTGACAACTTGAGATCTCCCAAGGCAGCTCAAAGGATGCTGTTTCTCTGGAAGGTTTTGACTTACCTGTAATGGGCAGAACCTCTCATTGCTCTGTCATTCCATGGTAAAGTAAATGTTTAATTGTGTTATCCAGCACGAAAGCACTCAAAAGCAGAATTTGTTCTCAAGGAATCTGTAATTTAGGAAAAGATGGGAGGTATATGTTGACAATACAACATTTCCTTCAAATTTCTAAAGCATTCTCATGTGTATTATCTTATGAACTCTACAAAGTGACTCTATAAGGTAGTAATTATGCTTTTTCTCCCTGTCTGAAAGCTGAGTTTCTGAGACTTTTAATAGTTTGTTGGAGTTACTAAGCCTATAAGCAGCAGAGATGAGACTTGAACTCTGTTCTTCTAAGCTAAATGATTTTCTCTTTCCAACATATTGTACTACTGCAAAGAAAGGACAGGTTTTCTGCCTGCAGTAAGTTAGGTTCTTCATTCGACTTTCACATCCAAGTTAACATCTTTCTTATTTTATTGAAAAAGAATAGAGATGACTCCGACATAGTCACTGTCACACACACAAAGTTCCTAAAGTGAGTCTCGTCAGGGCTGACGTTCTTCCTTCTGGATCATGCTAGCTCTCTAAACTGAATTTATTATTGATTCTCTGCCTCAGAATCTTTCCTTCTGACTTCCTTCTTGGCTTACTCCCTAAGTCTATACAAAGGAAAGGATAGTCTCAGAAATGGCTTTGTGGAAGAGAGAGATAAGAGCTGTGGGACTCAAATTTTAAAGCTTAAATGTCACATGGGAACATAAAGGCTTCAAGGCTCTGTCCTTAGAGATGGGTCCTGGAGCTCAGGAATCTTCATTTGACAAATCTGTTAAGTTATTTAGGTACTTTAATTAAAACACTAAATGGCAGTTTCTCTCATTACCCCTCCATGGTAATGGTTGAGCTTTCATTCAACAGCCTTGATTACTGATTTTAAGACCATTGTGATTCCATTCATGAATTCCTTAGGAGCTCTTCCTCACTTCCTTCCTAACTGAATAATAAGGCAGAACAGCGCTTTTCCTGTGCTGTCTTTCACAGCCACATAGCCCTTATTTAACCCCAAACAGGGGTTTGTCTCAGGTAAAAATGGTGACTTATAGAACTCAGTGGCAAGGTGACCATCGATTCCATTATCAGTCTCTTTATGAGGAATAGAATGTGTATTTGTTGAAACTTACTCTTCAAACTCTCTCCCAACCAATTCTGTATTTTCCATAGTATAAACTCTTGGGTTTTCATTGTATAAATCCTCCTAGGATGGGCCCTTCATGGGGCCTGGCTTACCTCTCTCCCATTCCAGGAGGTATTCCATGTGCCTTCTGATGCATAGTATGCAGGTGCCCATCAGCCACCATCAGCAGCAAGAGTTAGCTGAAAAGGAGGAAATGTTGCCCCTTCCCTTGCCAAGCCTATTTTCTGTTTTATCTTTGCTCAGTCACCAAAATGATTCCAGTCATTCATTCTCGCAGAGCCTTTCCATTCTTGCAGATGTCTTCGCTCTTCCCTGCTCTTTCCAGTCCCTTCTTTTGACATGTTGTCTCTGGCCTAATGCCATCACACACAACAGCCACAACAACATAGGGATGAATAATGCAACTATTATTATATAACAATGCAAGTTGTGAAGATTCTGTAAACTGTTATAGCAAATTCAAAATACACTCCTGGGTGTTCACAGCTGGACCAGCTCTAAAAATTAAAAAATAAACTCTCTTTATATGGCCTCATTATCTCTTCACCGGCATGGCTCACTACAGCCAAATTCCCTCTGAACATTGTGTGTGTCGGGGGCGGGGGGGGGGGGGGGGGGGGGTCCGCTGTTTTTTCCTCCTCTGGGATAAGTTTATATTGTGTTATGTTGTCCTGGTTTGTTTTGTCTTAGTCTTCTTAATCACAACTGGCATTCTGCTGCTTCAGTTTATGCCTCCACTCCAGCTTTTGGATGGTTTATTGGAGGAAGAGTCTCAAGGACTTTTCTACCCAGGGTTGTCTTTGAATTGTGATCTTCCAGGTCCCTACCAGCCTTCTGAGTAGCTAGGATGAACCACCAATACCTGGTATCACCTATTTCTTAAACATTTTTGTTTTCCAAATATAATGTCTGTGTAGCAAGTATGTAATGAATGTTTGTTGACAGCTGATGCAAGGGATAATGCTTAAGTTAGTGTGCAAATTTAGCTGTTAATGTAAACACTCTTCTTTATTTTTGTAACACATTAGGCCTTTAACCAGCATTCTTTATTTGACGTGGTGTTTCCTCTCTCTCTCTCTCTCTCTCTCTCTCTCTCTCTCTCCCTCTTTCTCTCATTTTAAAATCTTCATATTTTTTAAAGGTAATACTGGTAGAACAGCTCTTTGACAAAGAGTTCAAACCATTTTTGAAGAAATGGTATAATATTATGAAATTAAGTGGTGATACTCAACTGAAAATATCATTTCCAGAAGTTGTCAAAACCTATGATGTCATTATCAGTACAGCTCAAATCCTTGAAAACTCCCTCGTAAACTTGGAAAACGGAGAAGATGCTGGTGTCCAGTTGTCAGGTGGGTTGAAATGTTCTATTTTAGAAAAAGAAGAATTACTACTAATAATAACAATAATAGTAGTAGTTATTTTCTGTTTTGTGCAGAATGGATTAAAAAGGTAGAAGAAAGGCAGGAGAAGAGTAAAAACAATTACAATAATTAAATGTAAGACTGGGTGTGGTAGTGCATGCCTCTACTCTAAGATACTTTGGGAAACTTGGGAGGTAGAGATCAGGAGGCTTACAACTCCAAGCTACCATAGGTAAAAAGTTGTAAGACCCTTACCAATAAATAGCTGGGAGTGGTGGCCTAAACTTGTAATCTCAGCTATGTGGGAAACCATTAGTATGAGGATTTTGGTCTGAGGCTAGCCAGGGTAAAAATGTGAGACATTAAGCAAAAAATAACTAAAACAAAAATGGGCTGAGTGTGTGGCTCAAGTAGTAAAGTGGCTTTCTAGCAAGCAGAAGGCCTTAGTTCAAACCCTATTAACAAAATGCTAAAATAAGGATATAGGATGACCAACTTAACAACAAGATGTATAAAACACTATGTTGAAAATGAATTTTACAACTTTGCAGGGGGAGCAAATGGGGAGGTGGGGAGAAAAGGGATGGTAGGGGAAAAACAAAGTAGGGGGTGACAATGCTCCATAGGAAATGGACTCATTAGCTTGCTCATTTAACTGTAACCCCTCTGTATAATATTTTACAATAAAAATATATATTAAAAAACTCTAATACAACACAGTAGGTAAGTAGATAGACAAATAAACAGATAAGCAGATAGATAGATAGGTAGATAGATATGATATAGATACAATTCATAACAAGTCAAAATTATCCCTCCTTATTATTAATGAAGTTTTCATTTGATATAGTAAAAATAAAAATTATGAGTCTAAAATTGAATACTTTATTAAAGAACAAAGTATTGTCTTAAGAGGTTGTTTTTGAACTAAAAAGGATATGAATTTTTCTTTCTAACATATTTTAGCACTATGAGCTTTGTGAATTCCATGTAGGAAGCAGGGTTTAATTCTAACAGAGTAGTTTTGTGATTTTTATGCATGAACTTTGGTATGTGTAGGTACTTCATACCATTAGCTCTCCTTCACTGAGAAGAATGAGCTTATGCCATTACAGAGCCCATAAAAAGAAATTTCCATCAAAGCAGACACCGTGAAAAAATTGCAGGATGGAATAGGAGAAACCCTATTGGCACAGGATGAAATTTTCTTAATAGAGATCCAGAAACATAACAAATCAAAGAAAGGTTGGACAAATGGGACTGTATGAAATTACAGAGCTTCTGCATGGCAAAGGACATAGCTAGCAAGATCAATAGAAAGCCCATGGATTGCGAGAAGATCTTCACTAGCCATATAATGGACAAGGATCTCATATCTAAAATATACATGGAACTCAGAAAATTAAATCCCCAACAACAAATCCTCAAAGAAATAACTGTCCAATAAATAAGTGGGCTAAAGACTTAAAGAGAAACTTCTCTGAAGAGGAAAGAAGGATGGCCAATAGACACATGAAGAAATGCTCAACCTCCCTGGCCATAAAAGAAATGCAAATCAAAACAACATTGAGATTCTACCTCACCCCAGTTAGAATGGCTATAATCAAGAACTAATAACAACAGATGCTGGAGGGCTTGTGGACAGAAGAGAACCCTACTGCATTGTTGGTGGGAGTGTAAATTTGTTCAACCACTTGGGAAAGTAGTATGGAGCTTCCTCAAAAGACTCCACATAGAGCTCCCCTATGACCCCGCAATCCCACGTTTGGGCATTTACCCGAATGATCACAAACAAGACCACACTAAAGCTACCAGCACAACTATGTTTATTGCAGCTTTATTTACCATTGCTAAGATATGCAACCAACCCAGATGTCCCTCAGTAGATGAATGGATTAAGAAAATGTGGTATATATACGCAAGAGACTTCTATGCCTCCATCAGAAAGAATGACATTGCCCCATTTGTTAGGAAATAGAAAGACTTGGAAAAAATTATATTAAGTGAAGTAAGCCAGGCCCAAAGAAACATAAGTCCCATGGTTTCCCTTATTTGCAAAAACTAGTATATGTCTGAGACAAGTAGAAATGGTCAGATAAGTTGATGTTAAGCAAAATGTACCCCAAGATAAGGACTCAAATGGTTTTTCTTTCTTGGTATTGTTTCTAACATTTTTATAAGATGATTTCTTTGTTGCTTTGTTTATCCCTTCCCCTTGGTATAACCCCTGCTTTCACTGTATTTGATGTTGGTATAATTTGGGGAGTGGAAAGGAAAAAACAAATTGTTTAAATAGGGATACAGGTGGAGCCATTTCAACAATGAGATGTACACGACATTATGTCTAAAACCAAACTTTACTCAGTCTCATGAAAACAAATTTTACAACTTTGGCTGGGGGATGCGGGTAGGAAAGAGAAGGGATGGCAAGGGGAAACAAAGGGGAAACAAAGGAGGAGGCAACAATGCTTGATAAGAAATGTACTCATTACCTTGCTCATGTAATTGTAATTCCTCTGTATGGTATTTTCACAATTAAAAAAAAGAAAAAGAAATCTCCAGAATAGCTCAGCCCACCAGTCTCAACTTGTTTCTATCATTACAACTCTCTCTATGGAAAACAAACCCTTTTGACTATTTTTCTCTTAAGACTTTTCCCTCATTATCATTGATGAATGTCATCACACCAACAAAGAAGCTGTCTACAACAACATCATGAGGCGTTATTTGAAACAGAAGTTAAAAAACAATAGCCTCAAGAAGGAAAACAAACCAGTAGTTCCCCTGCCTCAGATCCTAGGACTCACAGCTTCTCCTGGCGTTGGAGGGGCCAAAAATCAAGCAGAAGCTGAAAAACACATTTTGAAAGTAAGTTGTCAGCTTTTCATATAACCAAAATAGCTGGAAAAACTGCGCATGCTTCTTGGGCAGTTAAAAGTTCAAGGGCCATGATCAGCACTTAAATAAAAGCTGTTTTCTTTATAGTAAATATACAGTCACCAACAAAACAATGATAGGCTTTAATAAACAGCAATGACATAAAATAATAATTGTGAAGAGTTGATCTACTTAATGGGAAACCAAGACAAACAGAATGCCTTCTTTTCAACCTTTTCACTTCTCTAGTTGAACTTCAAGATGTATATTCATAAAATATGACATCTTAGAATATGGGTTTCTAAACTGCTTGGTTTTCTGTGACTTCTGATAGTTATCATTCTAAGAATTTGGGTTACTCAAATTAAGTTGGAAATAAAGTTATGAGGATCTTTCTTTAAAGATAAACTTAATAGCTGCCTCAAATGGTAATACTACATAAAACACTATTATGGTGTATTATGTATGATATGAAACAGAGTAGTCCAAGAAACATACTGTCACTTACAATTACATTTAAATCATAACTTCTTTCTTTTAACTTAAATTCAGTAAATGAAATGCATTAGTGAGGTCAGTATTCAGAGGCATAAATTTATCTTGACTTCAAGATGTAATTTATTTCTGGACTTAAGGACTTAACTCCTATTTAGTCCTATTAAGGACTAACTTCAGATACAAGAGTTAAGGCTATTTCTTCATTTGCATTGTCTTTTTTATGTATAGATGTGATTGAAAATATAGCAGTTCTTTGTCACTCTCAGGAACTTACTGTATTTTCTCATGTCTAGTAATCCAATTACAAAATAAAGTTTACAAGATGAAAATAATATACTTTTCCTAAATTATCCAACAGTGTGATTTAGAAGCTTCTTGTTGCTATATTGGGACAATATTAATACACATTGGTTAATCAGATCCACAGTAAAACAAATAATGCTATACATTACTTAGGCTTTATACTACATATTCATGTTATAGATAACATACAAATTGCAAAAGCTATACTGAATCAATTGTAAGGAAACAGTAATGATTTGATTATTAAAAATGTCTTCTTTCCAGATATGTGCCAATCTTGATGCATTTACCATTCAAACAGTAAAAGATAATCTTGACCAACTCAAATGTCAAGTAAAGGAGCCATGCAAGAAGTTTTCAATTGCAGATGACACAAGGGAAGTATGTGTTTAAATTTTATTTCTATTTGAGTGGTAACACCACATTCAATCAAAGATGGTAAAGGTTGTTGTAGTGGACATCTGAGTAATCATTATTTTGAAAGTTAAGCAAACAGCTTACCATTTTATGCTTTTTAAAGCTAGTTATTGGGCATCAAAGCATTGTTATTGATTATCTCTGCCATCCTCTTTTCAAATTTCTTGTTTAAATGAAAAAAATAGCTCATTGTGAGCCTTGTATTCATAGTAGTATGGAGTTGGGGGGAGTTATGTAGCTACACTGGAGGGATTATGGATTATGGTAATTTACCCTCTTTTTTTTCTTTTTTTTACTGTCAAGTGATTTCTAGGATTGGTATTCTCACATTGCATGCAACTATTTTCTTGTTACCAGATTACAATTGGCAATAATAATGGAAATCCTGACAGGCATAATTTTACTTATTTATTTTCTTAGGAAGATATTGCCATAGCAAAGAAGTAAAATAATACATTTAATGGTAATTTTCTGATTAATATTTTCACTTATTGTAAAAAGCCAACTAGAATAAATTTGTACATTATGATGAATAATTAGTTCCTCTTGTAAAATTTAAAAGCATGATTAACTTTATAAACACAATAATAAATTTATCTCACATTGAAATTCTACCTTATAAGGGTATTTGGATTAGTGATATATGTGTGCAATATACAATGTTGAACTTGAAATATAGTAGGCACTATACCAGTGTTAGTAAACAAACTCCACAAATTTCTTTATTTTATTTTACTATTATTTATTTTTATTTTCCAGTGCTAGTAACTGAAAATAGTACCTTGGTCATTTAGGCAAAGGCTCTGCCACTAAACTGTATCTCTGGCCCACACATTTTTTTTTTAATTCTGAAAAAGAGTACTATCTACTTTAGTTGCATTAACACATTTGGATATATACTTTATGCATTTTCACTTATGTGATGTTTGCTCAGTTTTACTCGATAAGCTTAAATACATGCTTCTATATATAGTCACCAAAAAAAACCCAAACCAATATTTCTCAGATTAGTTTAAAACAGTTACCATCTTTTTGCCTTATTTAACTTTTTATATACTTTTCTTTGAAATATAACAAGAAAAAGTACAAATTAGCAAAGGCACCAATTTTCATGAACTGACCTCACTCAGGCAAACAAAATTATGACCAAGGGACAATACACTGCCAGTTTTCCACATCCTCTCATTTTCTTTTCCAGTCACCAGACTCCTAGAGGGCCCAAAACATTTTGATTGACTGAACTTTATACAAGGAGTGTAATTCTAGGTATTTTCAAACACCCTTGACCCTCTATTTCAGTAGAAATAATATTGAAGCCAGATAAATTTTTCTTAAATTAGATAGTAGGCTTTCTAAATAATTTGACAATATTTCAGTATGGTTTTAAATTACCCTTATTTTTCAAGATGTTTAATGTCCACTGCCTTTATTTTCTTCAAAACTTTAAGTTGGAAACTCAAAGGCAACATTGGTGTGCCTTAATGGTGGGAGTCAAAAGCCAGCTGACAAGAATAAATGTAATGTACAAAGAAATGGTCTTGAGATTATCCTGTGATTTTATTCTCAGAGCAATTCTGAATCAAATTTATTATAATGTGCATTATTTTAACAAGTTTGTTAAGTAACAGATAATGATAAATGTTTGATTGTTTTTAGTATCCATTTAAAGAAAAACTTCTAGAAATAATGACAAGGATTCAAACCTACTGCCAATTGAATCCAATGTCAGAGTTTGGAACTCAGACTTATGAGCAATGGGCCATTCAAATGGAGAAAAAAGGTAATTTAGATTTTTGTGATTCTCTCTAACAGATTATCCAATGTTTACACCAGAATTTTCAATGAGTATGCCACATATTCACAAGCAAACTGAAAGTATGTGCAATCTGAAATCATATTTCTGTGGGAGACAAACATAAACACACTTCAATTCCTTATCTAAAAGACTATCAATTCATCCAAGTTTCTCTATCATTTATTGTATACTTGAAGTATTAAGAGAACTATTAAAAGCTCTGTGTCCAGAGGCAGACTCTACAAATAAATTTCCCATACTGTTTCCTGTGGCTCAGATCCAGCTTCTTAGTGTAGAGCTCACATAACAAGCATAGGAACTGGAAAACTTGTCCCTTTTTAGAACCCAAGGAACACTTGGAGCCTTCATTTGCTCATTTCAAAACCGAGGTGAAGCTGGTTTTGGAATCGTAATATATTTGAGTTCATAGCACAGGTTTTTGGGTTTACATGCTCATTTTTTCAGACACATAATGAATTCCTTCACAGCTGCTAAAGAAGGCAATCGCAAAGATCGGGTCTGTGCAGAACACTTGAGGAAGTACAATGAAGCCCTCCAAATTAATGACACAATCCGAATGATTGATGCCTATAAACACCTTGAGTCTTTCTACACTGATGAGAAAGAAAAGAAGATTGCAGCTGCAGAAGAAGACAATGATGAAAGTGAGAATGATGACAAACAGGAGGGCAATTTAAAGAAACCTTTGAAACTCGATGCCACCGACATATTTCTCATCAATTTATTCTTTGGTAAGATTCAGTGCTACCTATTGAAGAGTTTTATGCATTCACTTCTCTATTTCCTGTGGGTTCTGAAAAATGCTCTCCAAAGATTCATTTGGGGAAGGAGGGCGGACAAGGAGAGAGGTGATCATGAATGGAGGGAGAAAGGGGAGAAAACCTGTATTCACTATATTTTTTTGTACATTATGTAAAACTAGTTAACTCTTAGGTAAGGTTGGGAGTGGGGAAATGGAGAAGAAATATTGAAGGGACAACATTGGTCAAGATGAATCATACTCATAGCTCATATTTTGACTCATGGAACTGAAACTCCTTTGTAGAACTACTTAAAATAAGAAAAATAAAATAACAGTATATTTTTGAAAGAACAAATCCTATGGAGACTATAGGGCTGTTTCTTAATTGGTGTAGACAGATTAATAATTGGTTATATCATAATCAGTCAATTGATCATCCAGTTTTAGTGTAAAAATGAAAATTAATTTGCTAACTAGAATCTATTGGTTATGAGGTATAGCACAGGATTAACTATAGAGAATTCAATTCTTATTGCTTCGTTACACAAACATTTCCTGTGTAATTATTTGTGTACATTAAAATTTTTCTTTTAAAATTGTTTTTGTAGAAAAATTGCAAAAGTGCTTATAATTTTAATTTTGAAATTACCTTTAAGTAGTTGAACAAAGGAGTTATCATTTAACAAAGCAGTTTATGAAAATAATGCATCTTGATCAATGTCACCTCTTTCAAAATTCTTACCCAATCCTCCCTTCCTCACCCCCTCCCTTGCTCTTCTTAATTTTGTAGAATACACATTGAATTCTTGGCTACATTCTCTCCTACTTCACCTCTCCATTCATCTACACCATTATAAGTTTATAAGCTAAATCTAGCTTGCACATAAGAGCTGGTTGAAGTGGAAGTTATTCTGCAAGGAAGCAGGAGGCTTACTTGAGATGGCTCAATAACCTTTAAAAATTACTTTCTAAAATTAATTCCTTAACCAACCAATAAAAATTGTATTATTTGTGATGTCAAAATGATGTTTTGACATATGTATGATGCTAAATAACTCTCTTAATATAATTGACATTAATAATTATACTTACTACTCAAAGAAAACAAGAACATGTTGAAAACATTGGCTGAAGACCCAAAATATGAAAATGAAAAACTCACCAAGTTAAGAAATACTATATTGGAACAATATACTAAAACTGCTGAATCCATTCGGGGAATAATTTTCACAAAAACAAGACAAAGTACATATGCTCTTTCCCAATGGATTGCTGAAAATGAAAAATTTGCAGAAGTGGGAGTTAAAGCCCACCATCTGACTGGAGCTGGACATAGCAGTGAGTTCAAGCCTATGACACAGGTATAAGCATCCTTATTACTTATTTAATTGTTGTGTTGTTCTTTTTCTTAAACTGTCATGATTTTCATCAATTTGCTCACCACCTAGCAAACATAGTGATAGGGTAAAACACTTGTTCTATGAGGAAAGCTTGAATATACTATCAGCTTAGTCTGTCATATTTGGAATCATTTTTTTCACATAGTTGGAGGAACTTCCTAAGTATGTGAAAGTATGTGACTTTTAATGACACTGGAGACTGAGGGCTACCGTATAGTTAAGTGCTAAATTCAGATCTTTACTGATATGTGTGTGTTACCATTAAAACTATGCAAAAAAGATGGTTACATAGGTGAATTTCATAGGAAAACTTGGAAAAGTTAAAGTATTTGCAATGTTAGATATAGAGATTTAAAAGGTTTTATGCTCTTTTAGAGATTTTATTACCTTTTTGTGGTTTTGGGTTTTTGTTTTTATATGTTTTTATTGTAAAAATACTGTACAGAGGGGTTACAGTTACATGAGTAAGGAAATGAGTACATTTCCTATCGAGCCTTGTTACCTCCTTCTTTGTTTTTCCCCTACCATTCCTTACCTCTCCATCTCTGCAACTCCTCCCTCCTGCTCTCCCCAAATTGTATCCTTATAGAAGCATTTTGTTATATCCCTTCCCCTCCCAAAATTATAAAAATGTATATACAAGATACAGGGAACCAAAATTAAATACAGTGGATAGAAACAAATAATTAAAATTAAATCAGAATTAAAAGAATTAGAATCCAAAAAAACTAGAAAGAATAAACAAAACAAAGATTTGGTTCTTTGAAAAAATTAACAAAATTGACAGACCCTTAACAAAAAAGAAGAGAGCATACCAAAATAAACAAACTCAGAGATGAGAATGGAATCATCACCACAGAAACAACCAAGATTCAGAACATTATAAGGGACTACTCCTCAAACCTTTATGCTAATAAGCTTGACAATCTGGAAGAAATGGATGATTTTCTAGCAAATATCAACATGTTTGTTGTTTTTGTTGGTCGTGGGGCTTGAACTCTGACCTTGGGCACTGTCCTTGTGCTCTTCAGCTCAAGGCAAGTGCTCTACCGCTTGAGCCACAGCGCCACTTCTGGTTTTCTAGTGGTTTATTGGAGATAAGAGTCTCACAGAGTTTCCTGCCCAGGCTGGCTTTGAACCATGATCCTCAGATCTCAGCCTCCTGAGTAGCTAGGATTACAGGCATGAGCCACTGGCACCTAGCTTTTGTTTGTTTTTGTGCCCATAATACTTGGGGTTGAACTCACGGCCTTGTGTTTTTGTTTGTTGGGTTTTGTTGTTGTTTTGTTTTGTTTTGTTTTTTTGCTCAAGACTGGAGCTCTTCCACTTCAGCCACACTGCCACATCTGGCTTTTTGGTGATTAACTGGAGATTATAATCTCCCAGACTTTTCTACTGAAGCTGGCTTTGATCATCAAATCTCAGTTTCCTGGGTAGCTAGGATTATAGGGATGAGCCACCAGTACCTGCCTTATTTACAATATATATGCTGTAATCACAATTAGTACATATAAATAATTATATATGTGTATACAGTGTATATATACATATTTGTGTGCATATAATTTCTATACTGTGATACTGTATACAGTGTATATATTGTTCATAATATATATATACATATATAGCATATATACATATATATATTATATATGGTATAAGTAAATACAGTTTCTAAACAGTATACATATATACTTGTATATTGTTTATAGTATATATATAATAAGAAACTATCTAGTACACACAGTCAATAGTATTATGTTTCACTTGAAGAGGAAACAGATCTTGCAGACATGAACACTATGAGTAAAAGAATGAGGTTCTGACAGAGTTAAATATTCTGAAAACTAAAGTCACATTGACTCTTACCAGCAAAGAGGATACTTCAGTGCCCTTAGAGTCACCATCATTCTATTCAATGTAACAAATTAAATCTATTTTAGTGCTTTTATTTTTGTTTTAGGAAAAAAGTTCTTGGTATTATATACACATTCTCATTATACCCTGAACATGCACTTACTTTATTGTTGTTTCTAAAATTTAGTGCCAGAGAAACCACATTTCCTTGGGTAATAAACCAGATTTGGTTTTCTTCTTATAGAAGAGCTATTTTATTTAATGTGTTTCCCAGTTTTGCTTCCAGAAAGCTTGAAGGCAAATCAGGAGTTAGTTCTGACAGCCTCTGCTAATCCTTATAAGTAATACTTCTGTATAGCTTCACTCTGGGTCTTATTTTTCAGTTTCTATTACATTTACCAGCTTTAATGTTATTACTTTTATTGTAGGTGACCTCGGAGACTATTGTAAAAGAGGTGACATGCAAATTAAAAGTCTCAGTTTATCTCCTTCAGACTTGGAGGCAACACATCAAAATACAGGGCATATTCTCTCATTCTTTCAGGCCTTGCCTTGTAAACTGGGAGTAGACTCACCCATTAGGAGAGGAAGTAGGAGTCTATATGATGTGATTTAAAGATTTGACATTGTGCCTAAATTTTGTTATTAAAGTAACTTCACAAAGTTCAGGTACAGACATCTGCTAACATTCAAGGGCTGGTAAGCTTGCCTCAGTAGACATGAGGACCCAGGGGAGAGAGTATTAGCAGGGCCTTTCTACTGAGTTCTGTAACAGTCAGGCATCGAATAGCCCCTGTGCTGCCTCTAAGAAAGACAGGGAAAAGGACGTGAGAACCCATTGCTGGGCAGATAGGTTTGTTTTGTTTAATACATAGAAACAAAAGAGATCATGAAAGGGCATTAAAGGCTAACTTAGCTGGCAACTTTGGTGAGGGTACAAATGAAAATAAAACATCACTGACCATATCAGACTAGATTTATGCTTAGTTATTCTCTTATGCAAGGGCCAGTGGACATAATTTTTAATGTATTTTTTTATTCTTTCAAGATTTAGGTTTTTCACCAAGAATTACTTGTAATTATATCTCTAGTAGGCTATTCATTCATTTTTACTTATAGTGCCCCTTTTAGTAAGCCATACATTTTTCCTCAGAAAATTAATAAGAGGTTAAGTTTAACACTGTTCTCCAGTCTTCCAGCTTCCCTTCCTGGAAGCAGCCAATGTTTTCAGTGTCTCATGTGTTCTTTCAAGAATATCCCATATGCTCCTTGCCTGAGTGAGTCTTAAAGTGACCGATACAGCGAGCATTTTCTCTGTGATTCAGAACTCATCAGGCTAAAGAAAGTATCGCTGAAACTTACTCTCTGAATATGAAAGACTCTGTCATTGATGTAATGAAAAGAAAAGCCCGTGTCAGCTTCTCATGTCTGTAACCTCTCCTCAGCCAACTCCTTTCTGCCTCCCAAATCAACCGTCAATTTCTTTTCCTTGGCATCAGTGCTGGTCTTTCCACCTCCAGACTGGAGGATGGAAATATTTTTGTTATTGTGTGGTAATCCCAGATTGGAAATCAAATGTTGTGTCACCATCATGTCTTTGTTCGATGCCAAAAACAGATGGCAGCAAATCCATGTATGATCTAATCCTTTGATTTACACTGACCAGTTGCAATTTATTATTTCTTCTCCTAATTAGAAGATTTGAATGTGTTTAGCATCACAAAATTTAATTTATTAAAATGTTTTCCACAGAATGAACAAAAAGAAGTCATTAGGAAATTTCGCACTGGAAAAATAAATCTGCTTATCGCTACCACAGTAGCAGAAGAAGGTCTGGACATCAAAGAATGTAATGTCATTATCCGTTATGGTCTCGTCACGAATGAAATAGCCATGGTCCAGGTATATTCAAATACTTCTATTTGGCCTATTAAGTTGCCTTCCTGCCTTCCTACTTTTGTTGCTTTCTTTTAGTAAAATGACAGAAAACACTCTTTGCTCTTAAGTATCACTTTTTCTGCTAAAAGAGCAATTTTTAAAAATTGTATAGTATTGCCATTCATATTACCATTTTTAATATATATGATAAACAAATACCAGTTGTAGTTTTAATCAACAATTCCTCTATGATTGTGGCTTTTGTGTCTGGACACTTTCTAGGATCATGACATTGGCTCCATCTGCAAGAATCAAAACAGGCCTGTTCATTCCGTAAGACCTCTTGGACACGCACAAAGTCCTCATGGAATCAGGAATCTGAACCACACAATCACACAAATGTCTGACAAAGGAACACACTCTCCCCTATTTGTCTGAATTTTCTATGCATTCAAAATTTTCCAAATGTCAGGCGTGAGCAGTCTTGGAAATGTAAGGCATGAATAAATTCATTTAGTCGAAGTTTCCATTGCAATCTTTCTTTATCTCTTATACATCCATGTTAACAAAATTGTGGTTAGTATTTGTTGAGTATGTCCAGGAATTATGATAATCGATATAATACTTATTCTTTCTGCAATACTCACAGAAGGTTTTTGCTCACAGCTTCAATTGCACCCTCCGATGGAAGGCAAGTCAGGGAACACTAAGCTACCTAGACAGACATCTAATTAAGAAGCAATTTTTCAGTAGAATAACCAGAGGTTTGTTACTCTCAATGAATTTTTTCTTTTTTTATTATCTTTAAGTAGTTATACAAAGGACCTGCCCCTTAACAAAGCAGTTTATGAATACAGTACATCTGGATCATATCACCCCTTTCAACATTCTCACTTCCCAACCTGCCTTCTCTCTCACTTTTCTTAATTTTGTAGGTTATACGTTGAATTCTTGACTGCATTCTTCTCCCTCACTTTTCTATATTTGTCTGCTCCTCTCTCCATGATGCTACCCCTCCCCTTTTGCCTGGTGTTCATTTTGTTGAACTTTGACTTTGTTTTTCTAAGAAATCACACAACTTGGATTCTCCTATGTTTTCCATGATGGTATTGCAATTGACATGCTCTTGAGCCAGGCCACTACAGCTACTACTACTTAACATGAATGTGACAATAATCCTATTAATAGGTATATAGGAATTTGTCTCTGTACCAGCCATGTATTCAGCAGAAGATGTGCTCTGAGTTCAAACTAGGGAATCTGGAACAGATCAACTCTTTAAATTCACTGATCTAAATAACCACTTTTGGTTCTTAGGATTTGAAGAGTAGCTTTGAGGCTGGACTGAATGGTCATATGTTGTTGAGACTTTTCAAAGTTTTTTTTGTATGTTTGTTATTGTAAAAATACTGTACAGAGGGGTTACAGTTACATGAGCAAGGTAATGAGTACATTTCCTATTGAGCATCATTACCTCCTCCTTTGTTTTCCCCCTACCATTCCTTCCCTCCCACTTCCACAACTACCCCAACCCACTGAAGTTGTAAAGTTCACTTTCAGCATAGTGTTTTGTACATCTCCTTGTTAAATGGGTCAACCTGTATCCTTATTTTCAAAGTTGTCATGGTAATTGGACCATCAGAACTCTGGACTTTGGTTGTATATTAAAGCATGTTTAAGTCTTAATGAGCTGACTCACAGGGAATAGACAACAGCAAACTTTCCTTAAAGTGGAACTATCAGTTGGAATTTGTAATGCAGACCAATGAATACCTTTCCAGACCAAACCCAAGAGAATTTGTCACAAAGCACAGCCTTTTGTTTACTTGATTTTTCTCATCTTCTCAGGCCCGTGGTCGAGCCAGAGCTGAGGAGAGCACCTACATATTGGTTGCTCACAGTGGTTCTGGAGTGGTTGAACGTGAGACCGTTAATGATTTCAGAGAGAAGATGATGTATAAAGCTATTCACTGTGTTCAAAACATGAAACCAGAAGAGTATGCACATAAGGTATTGCTTTGTCCCAGCTCTGAATTTTGTCTCATCTAAAAATTGCTCCATGTGCTTGTCATTAATATCCCTGTGACTACCTCAAATGCTGAATTGTAAAGTTCTGTTTAAGGAGTTGTACATAGCCAGATTCATACACAAAATATCAAGATTGTGGTAGACAGAGAATTATCCTGGAGTCTTATGCTCCTTCCCATGAAAAAAACTATAATAAATATAAGCTGCCCTTGATTTAGAAAGACTAGTACAATTCACTCATTCGACATGATCTGGTAATTTTAGTTGGACCTAATCCATTATTATAGGTGTTATTTTTATTCCCAATGTATTTCCAAATTGTTCACAGTGTACCAAGCAATGTTTTAGGACCAGAGAACAAGTAATACAGACAAAAGTTCTTCCACAAGAAACTTTCTATCATGCCTGGAAGCGTTTGTAGAAGACAAAATAAACCACAGTTAAAAAGCACCATACATATAATATAAAGATAAGCACTAGAGAATTGAAATTGGATGATATAGGGACAAATCCCTTAAAACAAGTATTTGAAGACCACTTAGAGTGATATTCAATGATTAGCCTCAATGATTAAAAATATGTAATATGTCATCTAGCTGCACCTCAATTTACTAACACAGACTTATTTGAATTGTGTGAAGGAATACAGTGAAAAAAGTATATATTTCTGCAATATTTCAGGAAATCCTTCATACCACTGAATTAAAGACTGTAACTACTATAATAGCAAACAATCCATTTAGAAGAAAATTCACACCCTTGCATATGTGTGTGAATGTTAGTTTCTTAACATTGGAATTGGCTGTACCCTAAATAGAGTTTCAGGAAATGGATGCTTTCAAACTGGTGTGCAAAGCTCTAACCAACTCCAAGGCTTCCTGGCCAGGTTTCCATACAAACTTGTATTTTAAAAGCCCCTTAAAGACAAAGCGAACCAAACATTTTCCAGGTATCAAACTTTTTCCACCAAATAATGACACTCAAAAGTTACTATCTCACAGTTCGTATCTTAAGAGAATGAGTTAAGTATTTTTAAAGTCTGAAGACTGAAGACTAGTTCTTCCATCTCTGCAGCTCAAGGGTCAAATTTCCTCAGTCTCTATAATAAAATGTTGTAGGAGTCAGCCTTTCAGTAATATAATAAAATAACTGACACCAGCAACTTTCGAAAGAAAGAATTGTGTTTGGACTCATGGTTTGGAGGCCCAAGATCCAAACAGCCTAGAAAAGGCTTTGGTGAGGGCTCTCCTGAGCTATATCCAATGATGCCAGAATGCATGCAGTTGATTGCATGTGTGGTCTCTTTCCTTATAAAGTCACAATGATTCAAGCAAGCAGACTCCACTCTAAAATCTCTAACGCAATCACTTCTCAAAGGCTGGCTGCACTGCAGGAACCATGACTAGTTTAAGTTCCCACTCTCTTACTACTACCAACATAAGACTCTGGGGATTCCATTTCCACATGGACTTGGGGCTGGGCACCTGACAATTCTTGGAAATCCCAGACTTGTTTTCCTTTCTAGATCTTTGGTAAAGACTTTTGTCTTCCTTAGAGTACCCTCAAGTGAATGGAAAAGCAGAGATGAAAGTGTAATAGGGTACATTCACTATTAAAAGGCCCTACCTAAAAAAAAAAAAAAAAAAAAACTCTGGGAGAATATCTCCATTCTTCCAGTTTAAGGATACTTCTTGACTAGTGCTCAGGTAACATTAATAAAAGTTGAGAGTTGACACATAAAGTGAAATCTAATTTTCATGTCCTATATAGGCTCTGCCTATCTGAAAGTCTCCTAAAATCATGCCAACCTCTAGGAGCAGGATAAGAATCTTATACATTTCTCTTGGCACTCATCACAATGACTTTTTCTCTGTGATTTCTTTTTATTTGGATTTAGGCTGATTATATACTAAATTCTTTTTGTGCTCCATTTTTATTTCCAAGACCACAAACTAAGTTCACACTCTTATCATTGTGTAATATCTCCAGATTTTATGTGACTTACTTTAATAAGAGTATTAAAAAATTTAAACGTTGACCTTTTCTTTGTGCAGATTTTGGAATTACAGGTGCAAAGCATATTGGAAAAGAAAATGAAAATTAAGAGAAGTATTGCCAAACAGTACAAAGACAATCCATCATTAATTACTTTTCTCTGCAAAAACTGTAGTGTGCTAGCCTGCTCGGGGGAAAATATCCATGTAATTGAGAAAATGCATCACGTCAATATGACACCAGAATTCAAGTGAGTACAGGAAGAAACATTTTTAAAATAGTTTTCAACTAGTGAAATACATTGTATTAAATGTACAATAATATTTTAAAAGTGGGATTTTTTCAAAACTTCCCAGATTTAAGCCTTCTAATTATATTCCTATTTCAAATGTCTATTTTAAAAATAACTTGTCTGATGTGTAGCTGGCAAAAGACTTCTCCCATTATATAGTCTCTCTTTTTAGCTTGTTTTCTACGTCTTTGCCATGAAGAAACTTTTTTTGTTTGATGGAGTCCCATTTATCAAGTCTTTCTTTGATTTGCTGTGCTTCTGCATCTTTACTCAGAAAGTTTCTACCTGTGCTCAAGAGCTCTCATCTTTCTCCTGTTCTTTCCTATAATAGTTTTCCAGCAATTCCACTCCTGGAAATTTATCCAAAATATTACAAACCAGGATAGAGTAAAGTCATCATCATAACCATGTGTATTGCCTCATTATTCACCAGAACCAAAGTATAGAATCAGATATCTCTCAATGGACAAATAGGTAAAACAGATGTGATATATATATTATATATGAAATGCAATTTTACTCATCCATTTGAAAGAATGATGTAGCAATATTTGTAAAGAAATGGAAAGACTTGGAAAAAATTATGTTAAGTGAATCAGGGATGAATGCTTTCCCTTATATGTCGAAGCTAGATTTTGCTTATAAACTTGTAAGTAAATAAGTTGGATAGCATGCAAGTGTATTAACTGAAATAGGATAGATTCAAGGGAGAGCTCAAACAGTGTAATTCCTTAGAAAGGCAAAGTCAAAGTTCAGCAGGGAAGTAGGTACTGGAAATGGGTAGAACAGAGCCAAGGGGAAAAGGGTGTAAAGTGAAGAGGAGAAGAGGAGGAGAATGCAATCAGAAATACAATGTATATCCTAGAAAATTAAGAAGTGTTAAAGAACAGGTGAATACAGGAAGGATGGGTGAGAATGTTGAAAAAAGTGATATTGATCCAAGTGTATTGTATTCATAAACTGCTTTGTCAATTGGCACCTCTTTTGTAAAACTACTTAAAGATATTTAAAAATTTTAAATTTCATTGGAATTGACAAGAAGTGTGAGACCCAAAGCCATTTTGATCCAAGGTGTATATATATATATATATATATATATATATATATATATAAAATCACGACACAAGGAAGGTGTGTAAGAAGGGGACATCCACCCACATCTCACTCTGGTCTACAAATTGAAGGCAGTAGGAAGGAAAGAATTGAGATGTCTGGGCATGAGCATCAAGTACAATATGGACCCATGTGCTGTATAGTGGATTTTGCCAATTCTCACTGGTGGTTCTTCCTCTGATAATTTTAGGGAACTCTACATTGTAAGAGAAAACAAAGCACTTCAAATGAAATTTGCTGACTACCAAACAAATGGAGAGATTATCTGCAAATGTGGCCAAGTTAGTACATGGTGTGGTCTCAGCTTTACTTTAGCCAAAAGGAATGTTAAATTGGATGCATATTTATATTTTCTTCTCAATGTCTCTTTTGTTTTCCAGGCTTGGGGAACAATGATGGTACACAGAGGCTTGGATTTGCCATGTCTTAAAATAAGGAATTTTGTTGTTTTTTTCAAAAATAATTCATCAAAGAAACAATACAAGAAGTGGGTAGAATTACCTATCGCATTTCCTGATCTTGATTATTCAGAGTATTTGTTCAGTGTTGAGGATTAGTATTTGATTTAATTTAATATTAAAATATCAACATTTTAACATTTAATATGATTCTGATCAGTGTTTTCATACTATTGAACTGTGAAAATTAATATAACTACTATTTAATAAAACTGTTTTGCATTTTATTATATTATATTTTCTATTATTCATTTATCTTATTTATTGGCCAGAGGAAAGGAAATCTACCAATAATATCAACATGGAGAATTATAGCATTGTAGGACAACTACTGAAGTATACATGAGGATATAAGGTATCAATTTCAGTTGTCATTGACTTTCAGTATAAACCTAGGGAATCCAGTTTACGTTTCTCCAGCCTCCCTATCTTTCGAATTTTCATCATGATGCCTGTTTCTGTTTCTATGTGTTTTGTATTGCTACACAAAAAATTACCACAAAGTTAGTTCCTTAAAAAATCCATTTATTACTAGAACACATTTTTTAAGCCAGAAGTTGAGGTGAATTTCTCTGCTCATGCCTGAAAAAATTGAAATTGAAGTGTTGAGAGGCCTGTGTCATCATTTGAAGACACTGAGAGCAGAATTCACTTTGAAGCTCATTCAGATTGTTGCCAGAACTTGTTTCCATGAAGATGTCTGACTGGGATTTCTATTTTCTTGGTGAATGGCCACTGGAAATTGTTCTCAGCTCCTAAGAACACTCTTACCCTGGTTGCCTGCTCAGTTTTGCCCTTCCCACCAGGTTCTTTGCTTTTTTGGGGTTGCCGGGAAATTTTCTTGGGCCGGTTAGGAGGGGCTTTTAATGTAACAATTGTAATAGCAGGAATAATGGTCATGTCATATCCACAGGCCATACTCACATTCACAGCAAAGGGATTCTTCAAAGCATCACAACCGATCAGGACAGGAATCTGAGCCAGTATAGACTTGTGCCCCCTTTACCAGTTGCCCAATTTTTGTCACTTATTACATACATATTCTATGGAAGCACTCTGAAAAACATGGAGCGCTATGATGGACACAAGAAGCACCAAGTAGCTTAGCCTTCAAACATAAACAGGCATGTAATACACCATGAAACTACTGAAAGATAATGTTAGTGATTAAATTTGGATTAATTCTCATGCCTGTAACTTTACCCTGTGTTTCTGGAGAGAACAACTTTCTTTCCATCCAGGGCTTACACAGGATTTAGCAGAGAGCCAGGTACTGGATGTGACTACGAAATAAAGAGAAAATGGCTGCCCCTGGCCTCCACTGCTCATGCATAAGGGTAACCTCCCTGAGCAGAGACAATTCTAATGTTTCGGAATAAAATATTTCTATTCTTAATAGAAAGTCTGTTATAGGATCTTCTCCTAATAGACACAGCATTGGTCATGGAAGAACCACCAGAAGAAAACAACACCCACAACTGACTATTGTAACTGATACTAAGTGTCAAAGATTACTTGCTCCACTGAAACAGTTAACTCATCTGGAAAGAAGAAAGAAAAAAATATTGGAAGATATGAAAACAAAAATCTCTGTTGGTTTTAAAGATGAGTTAAATTTGGCATTATAAGAGTTTTGACTTTGTTATTATTCTGTTTAAGACCTAAGCAAAGATGAATATTAACAAATTGAAGCTCTGTGGAATTTAAGAGGACAAAAGAAGATTTGGTTTTCTTAAAATACTTTTTAAAACTCCATCTGACTCCACTTAAAGTATTGCTGTATTTTAGAATGTTTTGGAAACTTTGCAAAGAACCAAATGCATAAAATAGCTAAATGTACTACTGCAACATATGTAGAATTCTCGAGGTATCAACAAATATCAGGGTTTTTTCCCACCTATCTTTTCTATTAAGTTTTTCCACTAAAATTGCTATTTTTTATTTAAAACTTTTTAAAGTACATATGCTAGATTATATTAAGCTTAATTTGTGATGATAGCTTAAAACTTGAACTATGGTGCAGGTACTTCATTTAAAAGCAATGATAATTATGATTACATTTTGGTTGGTTGTGGCCAAACAGTTTCTCATAATATATTAGTGTCACTTAACCAGATATACTCATGTCACATAGACATTAGCCTGAGAATAATAATGCCAATATTAGATATAAGTATTTCAATTAACTAGGTATCTTTGAGAAGTTTATCTCACAGATAATATGCTCTTTCTTTGAGATATGAAAGACTGGAAGAAAGGGTATCTAGGTTCACTCACAACCTTTCCATTTTTTATAGTTCTGGCTTTCTGTCTACTTTTCTAAGATTAGCTGATGGCACCAAAGGAAATTTCCAGGGATCCCACAGAGTAGTTGAACTGCTTGGAGTCATGTGCCTAAGGCCTAACTAGGTTAAAAGGCCTTTAAGCATCTGAAAATTTTAGAAGCATTTCCAAACAAGACCAGTTGCAGACGTTGTAGATAAGACATGGGAAGCATAAACCCAAGGAAGTCAGATCTTCTCAGAAAAAAACAAAATCTTAAACAATAATTTAGAGGTTGTACAAGTATTATGGATGTACTGCATTGAGGCCACATAAATATGAATAGGAAATAATTGACTAAAGGAAATGCAGTATATGTCACAAGTAATTATTGAAAGTGAAATGTATTAGGAAAGTGGGCAAGTATTTTCTTCTCTGCAATTTAATAGTTCCTACAGCAGAATGTTAGGCTTTGCAAAGGAAATTTCAAGTGTTATTTTTCTTTTTCTTTTTTTTTCCTCTGTGCAACCCCCTTCAGTGCCAGTAGCCCACAGATCGAGGCCAGGCAATGGTTCGGGACCACAGTTTGCTCTGGCATGGGATCAAGTGTTATTTTTCAATTCAGTTGGTTGTGGAGCCAAAGAAAATTTAGTTCCTTAGTCATTGTTACATTTAAAATGTAAAAGACACACTTATACTTAGGTGATGTTGGGGAAGAACAATAAAGAATAGGAAAATGTAGGCATGTCCCAGCCTTACAGTTAATTGCTTATCAAGTCCAACTGATCAGCAGATATTTTCTTCCAAATGTTATTGTTGTAATCTTTTTGTGTTTTTTGTTTTCTGTTTTTGTTTTGTCTTGTGGGTCATGGGACTTGAACTCAAGGCCTGGTCCTGTCCCTGAGCTTTTTCACCCAACACTAGTGCTCTACCACTTTGAGTCACAGCGTCACTTTCAGTTTGCTTGTGGTTAATTGGAAATAAGAGTCTCTTGGACTTTTCTGACCAGGGCTGGCTTCAAACCAAGATCCTCAAATTTCAGCCTCCTGAATAGCTAGGATTATAGTCTTGTGTCCTTGTTGTAATCTTTTCTGGTCACTCAGACCCTTGCTCAAACATGTGCTTTTGCACGTGCTTACAAGTCCATCTTTGTCTCCTCATCAACCTTTCCGATCTTCAAAAACAGAACCCAGATGTTACTTCCCAGAATCTAGCTCAGTTTACATTTCAGGAACCCAAATTGAGAAAACACATAAGGAACATACTGTTCGCTCACCAAACCATAATAAAATACATCCACGGTCTTTTAAACAGTTATATGACTCATGACAATAAAGACTAAATAAGAAAAGTGTTTCATGTTCTTCTCAAAGTCATAAAGTTAATTTGAAATAATTATGTCTTGTCTCCTTCAGTTTATGGGTTTCTCCATAATTAGTATTTCTAGACATGGGACTTTATATTTTTGTTTGTATGCTTAGAGAGTAAAATAAGATAAACTTGGATTTGACTTCATTTTCTTGTACCTTTGAGGTTAATTAATTCCAAGGGAATCAATGCCTGTCTTGAAGAACTGCAATGATAATTTGGGTCCTGTAGGGAATGTATCTAGCAATTGACACTTAACAAGAAGTACCTATAGAATATAGTGGTAGAAGTTCCTGTAAAAGCAGCAGCAACTATATAAAGACCATACATAGCAATACCCTAGTTATCATGGTAATTTTAGATCCATTTTGAATGTATAAGATGGACTTATTCAAGATTATCATATCCTATATAGTAACAGCTTATAATCCTCACTCTATGAAGTTAGTAATAACTATAATAAAATGTGATTTTTTTGAATTTGCTATTCACTGTAGCTCAGGAAAGTATTAAAGCCCACATCTTCTATGAGAATAACTGAAAGATATATATTTGCATTAATACAAATATCAACATATCCATTAAATGTTTAGAAGACATAATTAGTCTATTATATAAATAGAATTTTAATTTTAAGTCTTGCATTCATTTTCTGGAAGGCATAACAATACTATTTTACTGACAGTAAGAAATTGGATGTGCAATTTTTTATTTTTTGTCGGTTGTGGGGCTTGAACTCTGGGCCTGGGCACTGTCCCTCAGCTCTTCAGCTCAAGGCTAGCGCTCTATCACTTGAGCCACAGCATCACTTCCGGATTTCTGAGTGGTTTATTGAAGATAAATAGTCATGGACTTTCCTGCCTTGACTAGCTTTGAACCGCAATCCTCAGATCTCAGCCTCCTGAGTAGCTAGGATTAAAGGGGTGAGCCACCAGTGCCCAGCTAGCAATAATATATTTTGTGTAACACAAACCATGACTATCTTTGATTTGGTTATAAATCCATAAACATTTTTTTCTCAGGTCCTAAAACATAAAATATGAAATATATTTGGTATGCATTGCAGATACTATTAAATATTTAAAGAATTTTTCACAAATTTTTTACAAGAAATTAATCATTTCATGAGAATTTCATTGAAGATGAAAGGCGAATAAGAGTTCACTCATTTATTTCATTATTTTTTATAGTTTTAAAATTATTTTTATTATTTAAGTAATTGTACAACAGTGTTGTCATTCAAAGCAGTTTATGAATACAATATATTTTTTAAATTTTTAAGTTATTTTGTTGTAAAGGTGCTTTACAGAGCAGTTATAGTTACATAAGTAAGGTAATAATACATTTCTTTGAGAACATAGTTAACCACTCCTTCGTTTTTCTCCCACTACACTCTCCCCTGACTCTCCCCACACACCAAAGTAGTTCGTTTTCACCCTAGTGTGTGGTGAGTATCACTGCTGCATTGGTTCACCCTTTGTCCTTGTTTCAGGTTTTTGTTATTCTCCATCCCTTCCCCAAATCTGATAAACATATATACATGATGCATGATAGCAGAATGAAAAACCGTGACTACAGGGGATAAACCAAAGGGAAA